TACTGGGTCACCGGCGTGCTGAGAAACAAAAAACAATAATTAATTTTGTTTCATTTCCAACAACAGTTTAACTTTCCCCGGGACAAACTTTACTTTCACTGGTTGAGTTTTTATTGGCGGACAAGCTGTAGATCATGGCTACATACATAGGTGGGAACAAAAGGTGGAAATAGTCCCGTCATTTAGGCCCGCCATACACGAACAGTTTGAAGCAGCTAGTATCCACAGCTTCAAGCTGCAAAAAACTCAGTAAAACTCCATTCCATCATGCTAATCACTAACTGCTCGAGCTGTTATTAGTTCGCACGCATATTATGAGTTATTAAAAACTAGGCTTTAACACTAGAGTACACGCGCGGCCTACTATAGTAGACTAGGGTAACATTTTACGCTATAACTTTTTTAAAACTTGCGCCAGAGAGCTGGCATTCCAGGAAAGCCTCGTTTAATAAATTTGTCAATAAGCCAGTGAAGCTTGGGTACTAGCGCCTGCGCACTTTTCTAAAATTAGCCGTCAAAACTGCGGGTCTAGTCAAAAGCCCGAAATCACTCATCAAAAAAATTATGGAAGACTTGCAACTAATGGATTTACCACGTGTACCAGGCAGCAAAAAGTGTTGAATACTATGATAGATAAAAAATAAATCATATTTTTCCAGTAAATTTTGTTTATGTTAACATGGATCTCAGAGTGCAATTTTGGCCCAAAAAATTTACAACTTTTAAATCTGTTTATAACATTTGATCCCAAATAGTTATTTACAGAAACTTTGATTATAAAATAACTATAATAAACACTTTTATTATTTACATAGTAATTTTATTCATAAATTGCTTACAAACTGATTAACAGTGATTTTAAATTGGCTTACCGAAGGAGGCCGCGCGTGTATTGGTGTAAAAAAAGGGGCGCGTGTACTGTAGTGTTCATAGCTTATAGCGACTGGGCCTTATCAGCCTTATAGTGTATATCTATAAAAGCGAAAGGTCACTGACTGACTGATACATTGACTCATCACGAAATCTCAGAAACAACAAGTGCTAGGAGACTCAAATTTTGCATGGGGGTTCCTATTAGAACGTAGGTGAACTAGTAAAACGGGATCCACGCGTACGAAGTCGCGGGCGGCCGCTAGTTAACAATAATTACCTTGTATATCCTTCCTTTGACTATGAACAGTTCTATTAACGTAGGCGTATGTTCTATCGCCGCATCTATGTAATGCAGCGCCCGGTCCGTATCTTTCTTATAGTCAAAGTGCTGCGCCGCGTAGTAATATGCCCATAGCAACGCACTGGCCGGTTGCTTGCCTTCACTTGGGTCGGAACTAAACGTGCCCAGTTTGGTTAAGTTGTCTATATACTGTAAGATTAGTTTCTCTATCGTGTCTGCTTTGCTTTGGTCTGCGTATAGTGATCTGCAATTAAATTTGGATTTATTAAATTACGGGAATATTACGTGACAGTCAGTGGGCAGGGCACATAGCTCGTAGAGAAGAGCTGGGGCAGAAAAGTTCTCGAGTGGCAACCACAAACCGGAAGACGTAGCGTGGGCAGGCCTCCCACCAGGTAGACCGACGCGCGTTCTGGTGAAAGTCGCGGGAAGTGCCTGGATACAGTCGGCGCAGGACTGGTCTTTGTGGAAAACCTTGGGGGAGACCTTTGTCCAGCAGTGGACTTCTATCGGCTGAAACGAATGAACGATAAGCACAAGTGACGCTGTTATAATGCGTCTTAGCGCTTTAATAAGACTCCGAGACTGTCTTGATACAGGGCTGTCTTTTTTATCCATAACACGAAAAGAACACCAACTTCTTAGTGGTATCAAGCTACATAAATGGCAACTTTTTTGTTACAGATCTGATTTTACCCAAAATAACTGTATAATCCAATATAAAACCGACCTTAAGTCCACAAAGAGCGGCGGGATGCCCTTATGGAGGCCTCGACGAAGGTATTCGTCGGCCAGCCGCTCGAACACGCTCGCGGGAGCCTCCGTTAATTGCAGGCGGCGCGGCGCGATCGCACGCGGGTACTCACTCCTGGAAAACAAACGATAATGCTTCTTAACACCACTGCGAAAGGTCTAGTTTGACTTCTTAATGCCACTGCTTTAGGGCTCGTAAGATCCGCTTATGGAATACAAACGAAATTGCTTCTTAACACCACTGTGAAAGGTCGAGTTTGATTTCTTAATGCCTCTGCTTTAGAGCTAGTAAGATTCACTTCTGGAATACAAACGAAAATGCTTCTTAACACCACTGTGAAAGGTCTAGTTTGGTTTCTTAATGCTTCTGCTTTAGAGCTAGTAAGATTCGCTTATGGAATACAAACGAAAATGCTTCTTAACACGACTGTGAAAGGTCTAGTTTGGTTTCTTAATGCCACTGCTTTAGGGCTAATAAGATTCGCTTATGGAATACAAACGAAATTGCTTCTTAACACCACTGTGAAAGGTCTAGTTTGGTTTCTTAATGCCTCTGCTTTAGAGCTAGTAAGATCCGCTTATGGAATACAAACGAAAATGCTTCTTAACACCACTGTGAAAGGTCTAGTTTGGTTTCTTAAAGCCACTGCTTTAGGGCTAATAAGATTCGCTTATGGAATACAAACAAAAACGCTTCTTAACACCAATGTGAAAGGTCTAGTTTGGTTTCTTAATGCCACTGCTTTAGGGCTAGTAAGATTCGCTTCTGGAATACAAACGAAAATGCTTCTTAACACCACTGTGAAAGGTCTAGTTTGGCTTCTTAATGCCACTGCTTTAGGGCTAATAAGATTCGCTTATGGAATACAAACGAAAATGCTTCTTAACACCACTGTGAAAGCTCTAGTTTGGCTTCTTAATGCCACTGCTTTAGGGCTAGTAAGATCCGCTTATGGTATACAAACGAAAACGCTTTTTAACACCACTGTAAAAGGCCTAGTTTGACTTCTTAATGCCACTGCTTTAGGGCTAGTAAGATTCGCTTATGGAATACAAACAAAAACGTTTCTTAACACCACTGTGAAAGGTCTAGTTTGGCTTCTTAATGCCACTGCTTTAGGGCTAGTAAGATTCGCTTATGGAATACAAACGAAAAATGCTTCTTAACACCACTGCGAAAGGTCTAGTTTGGTTTCTTAATGCCACAGCTTTAGGGCTAGTAAGATTCGATTATGGAATACAAACGATATTGCTTCTTAACACCACTGTTACAGGTCTAGTTTGGTTTCTTAATGCCTCTGCTTTAGAGCTAGTAAGATCCGCTTATGGAATACAAACGAAATTGCTTCTTAACACCACTGTGAAAGGTCTAGTTTGGTTTCTTAATGCCTCTGCTTTAGAGCTAGTAAGATCCGCTTATGGAATACAAACGAAATTGCTTCTTAACACCACTGTAAAAGGTCTAGTTTGGTTTCTTAATGCCACTGCTTTAGAGCTAATAAGATTCGCTTCTGGATTACAAACGAAAATGCTTCTTAACACCACTGTAAAAGGCCTAATGTTTCGTTTATCAATACTACTGCTTTAGGTGTAAAGTTTGGTTTGTTAATGTTAATACTACTGCTTTAGGGCTGATAAGTTTGAAAACCCAACCATGATGTCCACATATTAATTTGTGCTTAAATTAAACTAGTTTGTTAGCTGATTTTTAACTTGAAATGTGATAAAATCCTAGAATTCATTTGTAGACATTCAAAATTAAACAAGTACATTTTACAAAATCTACACACACATAGTCAACACCATATTATTATAACAAGCAAATAAACTGACAAATATATTTTACAAAGAATTTTAAAAATATTTTTGACTCTTTTATCATCATCATTATATCATTTAACCACAATGAGGATCATTTCGATTTTTAACTGTGAATGCAGATTTATAGGGCTAAGAAATCCTTAATACACAGTGCAAACATTTTTGTTCTACGACAAAAATTGACGAAGTTATGGCCAAATTACTAAAAAAGTTCACTGACCGCCCGGCGCGGGGACGATGACGTCATTATATCCGATCCGAACGCTGCCGACGCACTGCGTGGATAGAAAATATTTTTTTCTAGCCAAATTATCAGTTTTAGAGAAAAACTTGTAATGACATTTATTCATCAGAATAAAGTAAGCTATCCAGAAACTGGGTATTAGCATCATATTAAGTATTATTATGTTCAATACAAACAATCATTAAGTTACACTCACCCCAACCGCGTCTCCGCATTGCATCGAATCCTATGAAAATGTGGTTTTTGGACATAGCAATACTTATTTTTCACAATTTTTATTTTTAAAAATTACTGGTCGATAGGTTACTTTATTTTGAAGAATAAATGTTATTAAAAGTTTTTTTCTAAAACTGATAGTTTAGCCGGAAAAAAATATTTTCCATCCCATTAGTACGCCGGCTGCGCTCGATTCGGATATAATGACGTCACGCGGCCTTGCGTACGTTGACTTTTAGCGGCAAAAACGGCCTATGTTTATTACTTAATATCTTCGTAAGTAATGGTCCGATTTGGATAATTCAAAAAGATATATCTTTCTTATGTCTTAAAGATTAACGTAGATACTAGTTTTATTGAATTTTCTACAACAGTACTGATCCTCATTGGATTTCCCTTTTAGTCATTAAAATATGCCTGCTTATAACTTACTTCATTAATATAAAATTCACTCACTTATAAACATCAAAGAAGGCCACTTTTTCATCAGGATCACTAAGTTGTTTAGCTTCTATAAGTTTCTGATAATACATCACATTTTCAGGATTTCTCTTTAACAGATCTTCGTAAACACCCTCAGCTTCTTTGAACCTAAAAATTAATTCATAAACATCAGAAAAAAAACTAAATAATAACTATATTCTCATAAATTTTGGCAATAATTCCAAAAAAATTAAAAATTCATAAAGAATTAAAATCTTTTAACAACAACATGAATAACACGTCTGTTACTGACTCATTACACACGATTACAATCATTATCTCGTGAAATGATCCGTCTCGTCTGTATTGACATTTACATAAACATCAATGATTAATTCACAAGGCTCCGATACTGACCTCTTTAGTTTCAAATAATATTCTCCGGAGGTTTCTTTGATAGATAACTTATCGAGAATTTGGCTTTGGAATTTATGTAAATGTTGCAAGGCTCTTTCGTACTGGCCAGACTCTGCCAACACCATGTTCTGGTATAAAAGCAGTTCCGAATGTTCGTAGTCATACGGACCCTTCATCTGATTAGTCCGGAAGGCGTCTAGAATGCTATTTGCCATTTCATAATCACCTAGTAAGTGATAACTCATTGCGAATCCTATCCATGAAGCTCTTTGTGTCGGTCTCAGCATGAAAAGCTGGTATCTGGTGTCCTGGAAATGGAAATGTGAACCGTAAATATATTGCAATAACTAGTAACTGTGGTGAAGGCTATCTTCTATTGATATAATCACAAGTTCATTTAAAACTACTGTAATTAATAATCTTAAAGACACATAAAATGAGTAGGTATGTACAAAATTATCAAAGTAGGTAATCTATACATATAAATAAAAATGAATTGATGTTCGTTAGTCTGATTAAAACTCGAGAACGGCTGGGCCGATTAAGCTGATTTTGGTTTTAAAATGTTTGTCGTAGTCCAGGGTAGGTCTAAATGATGAGCAAATACGCGCGCGATATTGTTTTTTTGTGACAGACAAAATTACACGCGGGCGATGCCGCGGGCGGAAAGCTAGTTATTGAATATTATCACTCACTTTGTAACCTTCCAAATCGCGCATTTGGATTTGAAGCAATGATAAGTCTCTAAGGATTTGTATATTCTCCTTTTCCCACTTGAGCGCATTGCGGTAACATTTAATCGCCTCATCATACTTTTTGTCCGATCGTTGGAGGAGTCCGTACACGTGCCAGCACACAGGCGACTTTAGATCGTTGCGGAGGCCACGGCGCACATATTCATAGGCTTCTTCTTTTCGACCTAGGCAGTTCAGTGTTAACCCTTTCATAGCCAAGGTTTCTGTAATACAAAATAAATTACTTACTAGCGTTTTATGTAGATTTAAAATATTAATTAAACCAAATTTATAACAAAGCTAGTTATTATTTCAAATAAAAATTAATGCCAAGCATCAATAAAATTTACATTTATGTTTCAAAAATTGATTTCAAATTCAATCTTGATGCCTTACCTCCATGCTCTGCAAACTTGGGATTGGACAATATTTGCTTGGCAAATTTCAAGCCATTTTTGTATTGTTTGTGTTCGTAACAACGCTGAAAAAACACCCAAAATTATCATCACAAAGTGCTAACCTCTATTTATTATTAGATTGTACTCAAAGGGCGATGAATGGCACAGATTATTTTGTCGAATAAATAGTGATAGTAATTAATTGTAAGACAGTTAAAATCATTAAATACATGCAGGTTATTTATTAGCTAATTAACCAATCAAATAATTTTAACTTCGGCAATGAAATGCAGTAATAAACCGAGTTAATCGCATTGAAGTGACAAGGTATACAAAACGAAACTGTGTTTACCACAGTACTTACCAAAATTCTTTTAAAAAGAGCATTTTCTTTAGGCGGCAAAGGATTACTGGGTGGCATTTTGTTCAAATGAAATTAATCTTTGTATTATTTCACTAATAAATTGAAATATTTCTAAAAACCTCGTGGCTATAAACCAAAGAATTCGATGAAGAATTGTTGTCTATGATTCTCTAAAAATGGTCACGTGACCGACAAGACTGTGTTGCCAGATTATGACAAGTTAAAATGCAAAAATTATCAAGCCTGCCCACAAGGCTGTTTTGTGTGAAATTCTTTCAGCAGCTATGGATTTCTGCAAGCATCTACAAATTAATTTACTCTGTGAAGTTGAATTTGGTTTGAGAGTAGAAGAATTTAATCTAAACTATCTTCGTAAATGCATAAAATGTCCTTTAGTTCATTCGGTCTATCATTCAATTCGTCTATAATTTATGGTTTCTTCAAACTGTCAAACGTCAGTCAGTCTGTTACTGTATAAAGATGACCCACGCTGAACTGTCCCACCAAACTCAATGACAGGGGGGCGCTACCATCGTTCAACTATATGGTTTCCAACATGGCAAAAATCTGAACCAGCGATCCGGTATTGACGGTGGCGCCCCACTGTCAATGTCATCGACAGGACAGTCCAGTATTTTGGAACTATACTGTCAAATAATTTACGAAATTGATAGGTCGACGCTAAAAATCATGTATTTTCTATAGTTTTATGCATAATAACACAGTGAAATATTGTTAGACATAAAGTGTTATTATTTCTCCATCTGTTCTCATTCATTTCTTTTCGCACCGACGAGATATGGGTATTGAAAACATGCGTCGTTGGCCTATGTACATTGTGTTCGCCGTGTGCATTTTACTAATACTTTCACTGTTTAATAGTTGGAGTTTAGAGACAGAATTGCGAAACAGAGTTGCTGAAATAAGCACGCAACTTCAGGAATGCTCAAAACAACAGACCTCATGCATGGAGGAATCGCTCACTCTCCTTGAGCAAAGAGATGGGTATGTGTCGAAGGTAAATGACATCGAAAAACAAAAAGTTAAAGTTAGCGAAGAACTTTCTTTGTACAAAAATAAGTTAGCGAAATCCGAAATCCAAGCGAACCATTCTATAATTGATATGGAGATGTGCAAGACTGAATTGCAATCCTTACAAAGTTTGCAACTAAGTACGACTGCTACTTTGGATACTTTGCGACTGGAAAAAGACACACTGACTGCTCAATTGTCTGAGAAGAAGCAAAAAATTGCAGATTTAGAAAAGGAAATACAGAAGTTAAAATCTTCTCTCACTACTAAGAGTGCCGCAGCAGTGCCTTCGAAGATCACCCCAGCTGCCGAGCCTCCCAAGCTCAGCCCGGCTCTAAATGTGCACAATCCTATCAACGAACCAGTCCTAGATAATGATGCTAAAGAAGAATTGGAGGATGCCAATGGCCTAAATGATGGGAATGATTTTGATGCACAGTTACAGTAAACTAAGTATTTCTGCCCATTTAAGAATAGAATATGAAATCCATAATCACATCAATTCATGTTTGATTCTAGGAGTTTTTTACAATATGCAATGTATACTATACGTAGATTTATGTTATTTTTGACTCTGGGACTGACCATGAATTACTGTTCATGTATTTTTGATATTTGACATATGATCACTTGTTTTTATTTAGATAAAAATACACCATTTGCACAGTCCTACATTATCTCACCCTCCGTCCTCCTAAATGCATGATGTAATTTATGAATGATCCCTGTATTGAATTTATATTTATGTGATAAGAACTATTAGGTGTTAATTTTTTTACTGTGTTACAAAAACTGTTTATGTTCAATGAAACCTAACACCATTTTATTCATTTGCATAATAATACACTTAGTGTCATTTTTATCCTAAAAGCCAGAGGCTGGACTAGTAAAGTAAAACTTTTTATACTCATTAAATAATCAAAGTATTCCTTGTAAATTGATTTTGTAGCCATTTGTGATATACTAGGCATGTGTGACAGCCCCTGATACAATAATTATGGCGATACCAATGGTTAAATGCTTAAACATTATACATATACAGTTGTTTAAGTTTATGAGGTGGAACTCTTTGATATGAAACAATAGCTGTTACTAATCAATTTGTAATGTGTTTATGTTTTGCATTGTTTGCCTAATGTGTTAACTAAAATTGTTTACTTTTACATTGATGAATACATAGGTATATTTAGATGCAATATTCACACCATATTTGGGAGCACTCATTATTATATGTACTATGATTTGGATTAAATATTATACTTATTTGTATTTCTAAATAATGTATTTGTCACCACTAAAAGTGTGGTCCAGACACTTGATTTATAGAAAAACAAATGCTTTTTATCTTCATGGCTTGGATATTATTATATTTTTATTATAATAGACCTCTGTATACAAAATAGCCAAGTCAAGGCAGGGTACAATTATTTTAAGTTAATTGCCATTATGGTGCCACACAAGTAGATGTTTAAAATTAGATCTGATTGTAATCAATACGAATATTAAGTCTTATATTCATATTTGTATCATATAACCATTTATACACGAAATTGTAAATTATTCTCTCATTATGATATAAGTACCACCCACCAGTATTAGTCCAGTCAATGAATGCCTTAACGACGGTGTAGAGAGAAATCCGTGGAACACAATTTCTGACCTCGGGACTTTATTTAGCCTAGTTAGGAGGTGAACATAGCAAAAGTCCCCGCCCTTAGCCCTTGAGCCGGCGGGGAGAGGGGGGTTTAAAGGTACCACTTTTCGGTTTTTCGCTTAATCCTCGGAAACTATGCGTCCTAGTGACATGACTACTATGAACCAAAAAAAGCTTAAATTCAATTTGCTACAGGTGAGACCGTCAAGTTTTTCTATATCTTGTATAGTTTTTACGGCATCTGCTCTAGAAGGTCTGTAAAATTGGAAATTTTATTGTTGTCTTACATGTTCCTTTCAGGAGAAAATCGACTAAATCAACATTGAGCAAACACTATAGACATGTGGGAGCATGTTAAGCCTAGTTCCATGGAGGGGACTGCACCGTGCGTATATTTAGACGAACCAATTAGAGCCACTTTTGACTGCTCATCATTCAAAAACTACTGTGCATTAACACTTCAAATTTGAAAGCAAAGTTTCGCATTTATGACACTCACTCACTCACTGATGATCATCAAAATAGAACTAGTACTTCCCATAAACTCAGAGAGCTGAAATTTGGTACAGAGTTAGGGTTTAATGGCCACTTAAAGGGAAAACTATAAAAACTAGGAAAATCGAAGGTCAGGAGTAACACCACATTCATAATCAATGTTACTAGCGACACACCGGCACCGTGGTGTTCGCCTGTACCGCTCACCGCTAGATGGCGCCAGCACTTTGAGCGTCGATTTTCTGCAACGCGGTGTCCAGTTTTTTTTTCCTTTCTAGACGCCCCCGTCGATTAAGTTGAATGTTATGTTGTGTAGTTTTAATTTCGTTGAATTCGTTTATTATACGTGAGGTTCGCTAGGGTTAAGTTATTAAACCAATCATTCTGATTTTGTCCATTATAAAGGTCGTTGAGTTAATTTATGTTTAATATCGTAAAAAAAATGTCGATAATATTAAAAGACGACGACGTTAAATTATAATTAATTATGCCACTTTCTACAAAAAGAAGTGAAATCCCACCAAAAACATTCTGTAAAAAACTAGCCAAGTCTCGTTAGAGCTGCTTGTTTATCTCTAAAAAGTAATGAAATCTAGACAAAGTCGTGCCAAGTCTATGATGGTTCCTTACTGCGATTTTTTTATTATTATAGTTTTAATGTTGTGTGACTTGGCCGTTGAAGGATACAAAATCAGGTGCTCCATGACATCATTGCACCAATCTGTCGCTACCCATTGACGATGGAAAATTGCCACTTGAAAAACGTTGCTTCAATAACCAGTCAATTGTAGGCTTAATAAAGCTGCGTATTTCAATAATACTTATGTATGATTATCATAATAAAGATTGTTCAACGGCCAAGTCACACAACATTAAAACTATAATAATAAAAAAATCGCAGTAAGGAACCATCATAGACTTGGCACGACTTTGTCTAGATTTCATTACTTTTTAGAGATAAACAAGCAGCTCTAACGAGACTTGGCTAGTTTTTTACAGAATGTTTTTGGTGGGATTTCACTTCTTTTTGTAGAAAGTGGCATAATTAATTATAATTTAACGTCGTCGTCTTTTAATATTATCGACATTTTTTTTACGATATTAAACATAAATTAACTCAACGACCTTTATAATGGACAAAATCAGAATGATTGGTTTAATAACTTAACCCTAGCGAACCTCACGTATAATAAACGAATTCAACGAAATTAAAACTACACAACATAACATTCAACTTAATCGACGGGGGCGTCTAGAAAGGAAAAAAAAACTGGACACCGCGTTGCAGAAAATCGACGCTCAAAGTGCTGGCGCCATCTAGCGGTGAGCGGTACAGGCGAACACCACGGTGCCGGTGTGTCGCTAGTAACATTGATTATGAATGTGGTGTTACTCCTGACNACTGGACTATATATCTTCCACTCATTTTATGTAATATGGCTTAGAAACGTGTGCCAGTATGCATTTAAATTATACGTATTTATGCTGATGGGCTGCACTGATGCCGTTTCATAGTCATTTGAATGATATTTTTTGTGAAAGTTATGAGAGTGAAATGTCTCATTTCGCCACTTTGTTCTGTGACGCACAAATTAAAATTAGGAAGTAAGACGACCTTCGGTTGGCTATAATTTCATACGAATTCCGGTTGAGAGAGTTCTACTCGTGTAAACTTTCATCCCACCAAAAACATTCTGTAAAAAACTAGCCAAGTCTCGTTAGAGCTGCTTGTTTATCTCTAAAAAGTAATGAAATCTAGACAAAGTCGTGCCAAGTCTATGATGGTTCCTTACTGCGATTTTTTTATTATTATAGTTTTAATGTTGTGTGACTTGGCCGTTGAAGGATACAAAATCAGGTGCTCCATGACATCATTGCACCAATCTGTCGCTACCCATTGACGATGGAAAATTGCCACTTGAAAAACGTTGCTTCAATAACCAGTCAATTGTAGGCTTAATAAAGCTGCGTATTTCAATAATACTTATGTATGATTATCATAATAAAGATTGTTCAACGGCCAAGTCACACAACATTAAAACTATAATAATAAAAAAATCGCAGTAAGGAACCATCATAGACTTGGCACGACTTTGTCTAGATTTCATTACTTTTTAGAGATAAACAAGCAGCTCTAACGAGACTTGGCTAGTTTTTTACAGAATGTTTTTGGTGGGATTTCACTTCTTTTTGTAGAAAGTGGCATAATTAATTATAATTTAACGTCGTCGTCTTTTAATATTATCGACATTTTTTTTACGATATTAAACATAAATTAACTCAACGACCTTTATAATGGACAAAATCAGAATGATTGGTTTAATAACTTAACCCTAGCGAACCTCACGTATAATAAACGAATTCAACGAAATTAAAACTACACAACATAACATTCAACTTAATCGACGGGGGCGTCTAGAAAGGAAAAAAAAACTGGACACCGCGTTGCAGAAAATCGACGCTCAAAGTGCTGGCGCCATCTAGCGGTGAGCGGTACAGGCGAACACCACGGTGCCGGTGTGTCGCTAGTAACATTGATTATGAATGTGGTGTTACTCCTGACCTTCGATTTTCCTAGTTTTTATAGTTTTCCCTTTAAGTGGCCATTAAACCCTAACTCTGTACCAAATTTCAGCTCTCTGAGTTTATGGGAAGTACTAGTTCTATTTTGATGATCATCAGTGAGTGAGTGAGTGTCATAAATGCGAAACTTTGCTTTCACTTAACTTCGGAACTAAATGACCTACAGACTTGAAATTTTGGATTTTAACTATGTGATTATAGCTTACTAGATGACGAAAATTTCTGCGTTCTGGTCTTATCCAGAGTGTCTCAAATAGGGGCCTGAAAATGCGGCGAAATGGTTCCAGTAAAGGATGGTACGGCAGTGTTTGCTTCGCGCTCGACTTGGCGGGGGCACTGCCGTGCCCCCAGATAATTAATTTACGTCCTTGATCCTTGATCGAGGAGCGTGTTCCGCGCGAAACGTGCGCTAGTCGTCTTATCAGTTTTTATCTTTATTGATTTATGATGCATATAAAAATAACCTGCTTAATGCGTAGCAGTTTCGTAGAAGAAACGATGCATCTGCGCGCGGTTTCAAGCATGTTTCAAGTTATTAAAAAATATATACTGCATTATAAGTCAAGGAAACGGCATCATTATTATGAAGATTTTCTAGATTTAACCTGTGATCTTTTCTACATTATGTAGTCACTATTTCAATTTTTACAAGTTACGGAATTATTGATATTACCAACTCAGCTAGAGTTGTTATTTATATGAAAATTAAATTAAGTGTACTTTATAATCTTTGTATTTTATTTCATAGTTAAATTCCCTGCTAGTCTGTACCCGAAAATGAAGTACACGGCCTTTAAAGCAAGACTGAATAATAGGCATCAAAGCTCGCTCTCCATTACACATCGCATCTCTCATGCGAGTAGTTATCTAGATCCTCATCAATAAGAATAAATTACATCCGGTGCTATTTCAGTAAAGGCGAGCGAGAGGTTTCCTTAATTGCGCTCACCAGTTGGCGCCACTGCCGAGTGACAGACCCGGACGGACAGACCGTACGCGCGCAATGGCTCCTACCCTCTAATCCACATCTGTGCTCCTACCAGTTGGATGTGCGATAGTTCTACCATCACTTCAGCGTTCACCAGTCGTGCCACTGTTTTAGCCACAAGAAAGCGCCTTATCGTGGCGCTAACTGAAAAAATAAGTTTCTTCAGAGCTGTTAGCCCTTTCGCCCCCACCGGCAGCATCGCCCCCACTGGAGGCAACTGGGAATTTACAGGGTGTCCCAAAAAGTATTGTCAAGCCGAAGCCCAGAGGAAGAGCATCCACTAGGGCTATCCGAATCTCCCCCATGTATGTTCCGCGACTGAGTGCGTTATCCTCAAAGAATATATTTACTCTGGTTATCCTGGCAAAATGTTGTCTCCTTTCTAGTGATGCTTTACCTCTGGGCTTCGGCTTGATACTACTTTTTGGGACACCCTGTATATTATTATGGGAAACGAGTTGGTCTCTCTAAACAAATAAAGAAATTTTGACTTTGAAACAATGTCCCAGGAATTACGACCATCTTTTTCGTAATAAAGTTGCGATCAAAGAAAAGGTACCGTTTGTAAAAAAAGTGAGTAAAACAAAGAATATAATCTAAACAAACTTTATTTTCGTCTTATACATTTCTAGCATAATCAAACAAAAATCTATCCATTCCCATTACTTCACAAGTAATGACTACAACAACATAAAACTTAAAAATAGACATACATTTTGTTACTTGCAAATCTCATTCACAATACATGAACAATTTCAATAATAAACACTCTGTATTGCTAATATTTTGGCAGATAATATGTTTTACATTAGGTATAAAGTTATAACGGTATATTTTAAATGTAACAGAATTGCCGCAGTAGCTGGAATCTGTACCTCTAGCACGAAAAACTTTCCCTGCAAATCGTTTGCGTATTCGACAAAATTTCAACGATAACGTGACGATCTCGATTGCCAATATTAGTTTCGTGCTACCATTTAAATACACATATGATTCGAAGTCGAAAGTGTTTCGTGCTAGAGGTCACCCAAAGCAGGAAAAGATACAAACAGTGGCTGCTACCACATTGCAATGTTGTATAGTATGTTTACCACATTGACATTTTAAGCCTCCAGGGAAGGCGGTATGTACGATCAGCGTCAAGTAGTTCGAGGCACCCAAAGTAGCAAAAAGATTACAACACGTAGACGTGTTGCGAATTTTTAGACTACTTTGGGTGTCTACTATTTGACGCAAATGGGAAAAGTCCAAAATAACTAAAATAATACATTATCGAAACTAGTGCTCTACGCGAGGCTTAACTATAGAACATTATCTCGTAAACTATTTATGAAAATAACATACCCTCAAGGATTACAATAACATTTTTCAAATTAAATCTACCATTAGATAAAGCTATTGAACAATGTCGAAAGGCATTGTAGTTTAATATGGGAATATAACTACATAATTATAACAATCTTCGTAACTGTCGTATTACAATACAATACAAAGTTTCTCAACATTATTTGGATTCCTATCCTAGGTTTCTATACCTATGACTTTTTAGTCAGACTAATCTAAAAATTATATCTAGTGAGTAAGAAACTAAGTCGGTGGTACATAGAAAATTAGAAATAGAATGGTTCATAGGAAATCGCAATGTAAAAATTACGGAGAAGTGTGAATACTTATTCAGATGGCGAAATAAGAATCACTTGATGTTATTATTGACAGATCTTAAAAAAATTAGTTAACAAAGCTAATGCGAACTTTCGAACACGCTTTTTAAGTATCTAATTAATTGCAATAGAACGAGAATTTTTATTCGGGTAAAGGTGGCGCCACCTGGTGGCATTTTTTGTTAAATACAAGTAAAGTATGTACTTAAAATGTGATCTAAAAGATGTTCCTTGGCCTGCAACGAACGTCAAGCCATTATTTATGTACATAATTGGATGAAATGAAAACCATTTATACAAGTTGAAAATCAACATTGGAATGGCACAAGATATAGGAATCAAATGGAATTTGAATATTTTTTATACACAACTTATATCAGATAACATGTATGAGAGCATACAGCTATTAGAATATTTAACTATGCAGTTTTAATAATTCATATAAGGCTAAAGCATTGTCACAGTGTAGTATAAACATACTTCCACATTTTAAAACAGTATAAAAATAAATGCTATATTATAGAAAAATACAATCTTTATATCACATCATCTATCAAATAGTAAAATTGCGGACATATTGTTTTTTTATGTATATAAATACAAAATAAACTGAGTGTTTCCAAAACCAGGCATTTGAATTTCATATCAACATAAATTTCAGAATTTGGTAAACCATAAAAATCATTACATTGTTGAACAATTTAAACACAAAAACATTCTGTTATTTTATTACAGGATCATTAAACACTTCAATAATAGGGAAAAAAAGGAAATGCAATTTAATTTTGTGACCTTAATATTTTGTCAGAAAAGAATATTTTAAAGTATGAAGTTCTAAAATAAAATAAATCAATAATATCATTTGAGTGTTGGAGTTTAATAACCCTGTAATTTTAGCTAACCTTTGTTTTTTAATTCCTCTTCTTTTGCGACCTCCTCGAACGCTGGCAAGAGATTCCTACGGCATTTGGTTTCATCGGTGTAGTGCACAGCCCAGATAATATACTCCCCAACATTCAATGGGTCTTCAGAATAGCTGATCTGTATTTTACATTTCCTTTCCCACTTCATTGAATCAACATCACGGTTGTTTTTTGTTCGGCTGAACTCAATGTAACCATTACATTCCACAAACAGCTTCGGCAATTGAGCATTCAGAGCGTCATGCGACTTATCTGAATCTGCACTTGTTGATGGAAGACAGTCTCCTTGACCCAGCTCACGATTCGGTGGAGTGACCGGCACTAATTTACGTTTCACACGCCTCCGTATAACTCCATCTCCTGTACTGTTAACATCTATGCTTTCTTCAGACTCATATCCCCTCTTAACTCCATTTCTCTGAGTAACATCTCCATTTTTGCATTCATTTTCTGCAGTAACATTGTTTCCCTTTAATCGTTTATTAGCAGTGTCTTTTACTTCATCGAGAGGCTGGCAACCCTCAGCCCACTCTGGACTGCTACAATTTGATCTTAATAATCGTCGCTTTCTTTCTGTCTTATTAATACTTAGTTCTGGAGAGTTATGCATACAGCCAGCATCTTTCTCCTTTCTGAAACTGAATTGTTTAACTATTAGATGGTTTTTCCTATAACTATAAAATAGTTAATAATTCAGTATTTTGAGCATGTCCTGTACCAATTATTTATAACTATAAATCTATTTTACTCATGATTTTGTTATGGTAATAATTGAATTAAATAATAATTCAGATATTAGGTATAATATTGGGAAAGGCTTAAAAAAAAACTAAAGTGTAAGTAGAAAATTACATGTTTATTAAAGTGAAGCTGTTACAATACTATCATACACACCTTGGAGATCTTTCCTGACGATTCTGTATTTTATCTACACTTTGAACCGTAAGAAAATCATGTCTTGAGCATTGCATGTCATGTTTTAAAAATGAACAAACTTTTTTTCTAGTTTTTATTGTTCTTCCAAACCATTCTAAGATAACATCATCTGACATGTATAACGTTAAATTCTGCCGATCATGATCTACCATATTCTTGTACCATGATGTAAATGATCTGGCCCGTAAACGGTCATTACTTTTGTTTTTGTCTTCTTGTAAATTTAAAGATGCTGATCTAGTGTTGTGTTTGCGCTGAGTTGGTGATGAATAGGACATAGTGATTTCTGAAACAGATACAGATCGATCAGAGAATTGTAATATTACACTGCACTGGGATGAACTCTCATGTACTGAACTTACATTTCTCAGAGAGCACGTCCACAACACTGTATGAATCTTTTGCCGCGTGAGCCAAGTCCAGCCTTAGGCCTGCCAGTCGACGCTTGCTTTCCTCAATATATGCACCAACAGATAAGTTTATTTCCAATAACTCCTGGTGCAATGAAACCAAATTACGATTGTTTGAGAATATGTTTTCTGAAATATAAATTAAAAAACGTCAATATTTACATGACAACAAACAAATGAAATAACAATAATTCGAAATTTAAAACATAACCTACGAGTACACTTCGCTACTTCCAATGCCAAATGTTCCCTAGATAAATCTTCAGATATTGTCGAATTCATTGTACGGATGCCTTTTATATCAGCATTCGCGAATAATGTCTATAATTTTGGTAAATAAATAAATGTTTTCAACGTTTTTTAGAAAAAACGCTAAACTTTTGTTGTATCTTGAGAAACTGTCAAAAATAAAACGCCAAACTTTCCATAGACAACGGCTCACTCCCTCTATCCATAAACAAAATGGGATGCCCACTACAAAAAAAAATTACCCTACAATTTAAAAAAAAACATGTCAACATTAATATTTTTTGTAAGAAATTTTGTTGAATGTTGAGATGTTTTTGTTGATTGTGTAGGGCAAAACACGCGCTGGAGACCCGACTTTTTAGAATGATTGGACATGGGTATAGGTGTACCAGAATCTCATGGCAAATGGGGAAAATAAACTTTGTTGAGTGGAATACTGGGGAAATTGGATTAAACGATCTTGATACTGTTTAATTTTTTATTTATGACTTTAATATTAATGAACATGAAGTACGAATGCCTACCTATACATTTTAGATTGTGTATGAAGAATGTTGTTATACATCGGGTTTTTAACATTTATACATGTCTTGAAAAATAAGTAAACCGTATATTACTGTAAATAATTTTATTATGTATCATACTTATAACTTATCACTTCATTCAGAACTAGACGTTTTCTAGGAACTCCACTTGCAATTCTTGATTCTTCTTCAATAGATGATCAAGTTAAAGAGGTATTTATACAGAGTGGAATTTTGTAATGCCACCTGGAGGGAAAGTACTCTTAATACTGTAGATAGAAAAATTTGCTGAAAGAACATTCCTTTATTTTCGAAAAAAAAGAGAGTTACACTAAAAGATTTTCGAATTTTTTTCGATAATTCACTACTATACCATACAATTTTCTGTAACATTATTAAAATATCAAAACATTTCACTCCAACTTACTGTCAACTCAACGACGCGCTTTAAAATCAAAGATTAACTTTGAATTATGCCTTATTTTACAATACACATTGAAAACAATATAATTTGCTTGAGGTTTTTCGACTTTTTCACAAAAATAACAAATAGGCATGAAGAGATTACAACATTTCTGCAGCGGCTGACAGATCTCTTGATTTACTTTGACAGGTGACAATAAAGCCATAGACAATTGCCATATGAAAAACACACTTTTCCAATATTTTTATTTGCCATGAGATTCTGGTACACCTATATTAGGTGTACCTTTCAGTCCATTAAGCGTCATTAAAAACCCTATAAACACAGAGCACAAATTAAGAAAAGCACGCAAACGAAAATCGTATTTTGACTCTAGTGCTCATTTTGTCTTTACTCTCTCATCTGTGCATTTTGTGATGTGCACATTCTGCCTCAGACGCTAACAATAGATAGATAATCTCAATGTAAATAGAATTAATTTAATAAAATAAACTACGGCTTACACCAGTTCCCCTACTAGTAAAATAAAGTTTTATATTCCCCTACCCAACCCCATTCCATTTCTAAAAACAAATCTAAATGTTGACTGGTTGAATTTTCGATCAATAAGGCAGCCTCACTGGGCATCTCAAAATAAACCATAGACAAAATATTAATTACGTGAACGATTGGATAGCGGGGTAACCGCGCTTCTTTGGGAGTGGTAATGCGCCGAACCAATCTACTGCGTTCCTGCGATCATTGACTTCGGCCATTGGTCTATCCTTTGTCAACCAATCATTGAAATACCAGTGAGAGGACCTCAATGTAAGTTTGGATTTTCGCCGAATTTTCCTTTTGCGAGTCTCGCAAATAAGTTTTATTTATAAAAGTAAATGTCGGCTCTTTGTGGGAATTCTATCTACAATATGTTTGGCGAAATTACTTGAGAAGCAGCCATTTTGGTTACGTTAGCTTACCTTTGGCCTCGTAATAATGACGTGTTGCATATTTATCTAGCTAGAATGATGAAGTTAGTGAAGTTAAACTTTCTATGGCTTACATGTGATTAAATAAATACCAGGTAAATTAACTTCACGGGCCACAAGCTCCCATATCTTCTTGTCAAGTGAAAACACTTTGCTACAAAGTTAATTAAACGATACTTGTTCCTCTGAATTTTTAGTAATACTTGACCAGGCAGGTATAACGTATAACCCACCCTTACGTATTTTTTTAAATATTTACCTAGCTTAGTTACTTGTATAACCTAATTATGATGGGATTTTAATTAGTTCTCTACCTACTGTGCTTAATTTAAATACTTTTGTTAATTAAATAATTAGTTTGTTACTCTGTGCAACTTAAAACTTTTTTGTATTATTAGTATAAGGTTACTAATCTGTCTTTCAGTGGTAAATAATGGAGCATGCACAAATACAGAGTTCAGATGGCACCCAAGTGATGACCATCAATGGACAGCAGTTGCAAGTGTTGCAAATGAACAACACCCCTCATATGATACAGGGACCCAATGGACAGCAGATAGTTGTCCATACAATACCATCCACAGGCCCTGCTATACAGGTAATGAAAAGTTTTAAGGATAATATTTCTTCAAATTGAGGTTTAATTATCTAATGTAATATCTAACGGACTGTTGTATTTGTACATGCAATCAGATTGGGACACCTCAAATCCAGGTAGTAGTATCAGAACCAGAACCAATTAACCTTAATATTACTAGATCAAAATTACTGCATGGATAGTTGTTTTGTTTCGTTTATCTGAGGAAATTCACCGAATCTACTGTAACAGAAGTGTTGCATTTAGGGCTGCATTAACCAAGTAGAGCCCCTAAACATTATAAGAAGCAAGTACCCTTAAGCAATGCAATCTTGGGGGGCCTATTGCCCTGTTTGAAAAAAAAAACTTAAAAAGTTACATGAAATAATTTGATAGCCTTTGAATAAGTGTTTTTTTTCTATTGACAGGTAGCGAATGGCCAACAGTTACAACAATTGCAAGTGTTGCCAATATCCAGTTTGCAAGGTAATTTGTTAATTTATTTATTACTGTGCCATTTTATGTAAATGTCATTTTGGTGCTTGTACTCTGTTGTTTAGTTTTTAGATGTTATTTTATTTTTTACTTGCATCAAATAAATACTTTTCATTCTTACTTTCTCACTAATATTGATAGTAATTAATAGTAACAAATTGTTTAATATGAAGCTACTTATCATTTCAGGGGCTAGCAGTAACATGCAGCCGATGCAACTGGTTCAGACTCCGGATGGACAGACGTTCCTCTACCAGCCCAACGCTAACACACAGCCTACTATAGATCAGCACCAAATTATACACCAGCCTACTGGTAAGTGTGTCGTAAGAATTTGAACATATTATTTGTATCGATCGATTAAATCATGCAGGTAGTTAACTATATGACATCTATTGGATCAGGAAATTCACAAGTCCAGTTGTTTTGTTTGGTAAAGACATACATAAGCTGTTTTTTACTTAAACTTGAATTATTTATATTTTTTTAGTTATAAACCTGAATGGGAACCTCGTGCATGTGGCAGGAGTCGGCAATGCTGTTCAGCCGCAACAGATTGTGAATCAACCCAACATTGTTATGGTGAGTTTATTAAAGTAACCCTTATATTATCAAAAATACACTGCAGAAAAGCTAAATTTTTTCTCCGTCTCTGAAAATGCAAAATTAGCAGGGCATTGAACTAGCATAAAACTCATTTATTTTTGCAAGTGGGATTTTAAATAGCATTTTTACATTCCTAATATTGTCGAAAAAAATGTCCATACAAAACTTTTAACTTTTTTTTATGCATAACAAGGCAGATATTTGACCACAATCGCACCTGATGTTGTGGTGAACTAGTTTTGAGATGATTTAAATTACCATTGACCAAAGTACCAAACCCATCTACCTTCGATGTCAGTTTAATCAATTTAATTATACTAAATTGAAATGTTTCCAGATGGTGAACGGTAACAGCGGAGCCAGCAGCGGAGGCGGCGCGGCGTCGCCGGCTCCCGCGTGCTCCGGCGAAGACGAGGAGCCGCTGCTGTACGTCAACGCGCGCCAGTACAAGCGCATCCTCAAGCGGCGTGCGGCGCGCGCTAAGCTGCACGAGCTTGGCAAGATCCCTAAAGAGCGTCCGGTAAGTTTTTTTTTAATGCTAGACAAGGCAGGTATTTGACCGCAATCGCACCTGGTGTTAAGTGAGATGCAGTCTAGGATGGTACATATCTGCCCTGTAAGTGCCTATTCACTCTCGCCTTGAAAACGCCCGGATTATAGTGTTCAGGAAAGACAGCAGCAGGCAGCGAATTCCAGTCCCTAGCTCACGTGACGATTATAAAGCTTTCTTAAGCATTCCCTGTTATGTCATCAGATAGAGATGCTGTTAGTCTGAATCTTATTAGTATTTTGCTGTGCACTGCTGGCCAATGGCCTACCTCAAGGATTTCTACAACGACCGGTCCACTCGAGAACTTTTCTGTCCCAACGCCTATTAGCTCTACGTGTTATGTGCGCCACCCACTGCCACTTACGTTTAGCAATTCGCCAGCTATGACGGTCATGTTCCTCAGGAAAAGGAATTTCTCTACTGTCTGAATTTCATCTGGCAAAATTTCAGATTATAGCGATTCAGTTGTAATAACAAACTAACGAAACTAAATATTTAATTTCAGAAATACCTTCACGAATCAAGACACAGGCACGCCATGAACAGGATACGAGGCGAAGGGGGAAGATTCCACTCTGGTAGTAAAAAGTAAGACTTTTTTAACTATTTTTATTTATTTATTTATTTTCACCAACTTAGACTTAAACAAAAGGCTGACCTGGAAAAAACATTACTGGCTAATGGCACGTAACTCCAAACTGTCGATCGACAACAAACTGTTGATATACAAAGTGATCCTGAAACCAATATGGATGTACGGCGCACAGCTGTGGGGAAGTGCTAGTGACTCTAACATAAACATAGTGCAGAGACTGCAGAATGGCATCCTAAGAACCATCTCAAATGCACCATGGTTCATTACCAACACTGAAATCCACGAAGCTCTGAGCATACTGCGTTGGCAACCATCAGCTACACTAAACGACTGAAGCGCCACGATATTCTTGGTGACAGATGGTGAATGAGGAGTATCCTGCTGGGGAGCTCCTTCAACATGTTAAAACTGCATGGAACAAATCTGCTTATAGTTTGGGGCTGATTGCAGATGAGCGCAAAAAAAAAACCAACAAACTATTTTTACAGGTCATGTTTAGATGCTTATCTTCAGATGCTTACTGCAGCATCACTGATATTGATTGTTATTGTCTAACCTTTTCAGAGATATGGAAAATGCGGATATTTCAGAAGACCTCAAACAACTTGAAGATATGAAACCTGACACTGTATCTATCACAATCATACAGGTTTGTAGATTTACATATTTTCTAAAAGTTAAACTAGATTTGTTTTACTTTTTACACAGCAAAGTATCCTAAATTACTAAAATGAGATTACAATGTTACCTAATTAAAAAAGCTATATCAAACCATCATCCTCACGAACTTGCTCTCCAACTCACCATGGACCAATATGTGAGACGACTGTAACGTGTCATATCCTGGAATTAGAGTTCCAATGGGAAGCCACTGCATGACAGCATCACAGAACCGATTTGCTCATAGTCTTGAGGCTAATTGCAAATAAATACAGAATGAAAAATAATAAGAAAGCGGTTTGTTTTAAACCTAGTATCCTAACTCAAGGTTTCTGTTTTTTTTTTTTATTAATATTTTTGACGTTCATAAGTGCCAAAATACTGGTCAAAACTGAATAAAATATTTTATATTTTTATTTTTTATAGGACGAAGAAACGCAAGACCGCCAGCAAAACCAGTGGAGGCGACTGGCACCGCATACCTCACTTCAGTCTGCGTAGCGCAGGCCCGTCCCCGCCTCGAGGGACCCGCTCGATTCCAGCGAGTCCGAATGAACACCAGAGGCCTTCCACCAGTGTACCAGAGACTCGTATCAAGTGATCTTCTGGCCCAGTGATAGCTCGCTGACAAAACATGACATGAAACGGCCAGAAGTGTTAAGTGTGAAGTCCCCGGAAAAGCTGCTTGCTCGTTCACTGAAGAGCGAGCTCGGAATGTCTACGAGTGTGACCACTGGCCTTCCTAATTAAGTGTGATGCAGCAGTCTCTTTACTAGTGCTGGTGTGATTGTGAAAACTTGTGGACTTGTTATATTTACAAGATGACTCATCTCTGAGTCAACATCATTAATACCAATCAACACAGATCCAGGTGATTTGAAATGATTATTTTTGTGTGAATTCACCGATTTCAGCACCTACTTAACCCTTTTTTTCGTAATCCGGGTTTAAATTGTTTTTTTTTTTTTCCTAAGGGAGTGACTTCCTTGACACTCTGTTCAGAATTATATCAATTTATCACTTTTTAAAAACATTAAGACAGATTTTGTTCTCTATATTTATGCAGACTTAGCTGGACATTCATTCTAAGTTGTATTTCTTTCTTGTAAACTTTATTCCATATTGTTATTTAAAGTTTTAGGTGTTTATGCCAAATAAATGGAGTTCTTCATGCTTCAAATAGTATGGGAGACTAGCTGATTATGTGATAAAGCTTAACGATTTCACATGCACGAAAGCAATAATTTTGTTGTTTATATTTTTCATGGTTGGCCTGCTAGGACAGATGGAGATATCTATTCTTCCCAATGTAGAACATAGGCCATTGCCAGAAAGATGATGGATTTGTGAAACTATTTTTCTTACTAAATAACATTTTAGTAACATGTTACTTGATTATGGATAAGATGTTTTATGTTGCATATTTTTTATTTAGTTTTCTTTTAACTTATTGAGTAGTTTGCTTTATAAAGCAATAATGATATTCCTAATTTTATGTATAGATTTGCAATCATGAAGTTGAGCCCAAATTATGGTTTAAAAATTCGGTCGTGATGTGATGCTAAAATATTAATTTAATGTTATTATTAAATTCTTTGTAAATTGTGTAAATATGATGATAGGACTGAGTAGGGGTGTAGAACTTTTGTATTGCAAGTAAATTAAGTACAAAATAAAAATTGCACATAAAAAGATTGGTTTTCTTTTACAAATTAAAACTCAGCAAACATATTTATTTTGAACAATTTTATTCCAAAAATTCATAAACATGATTTCCAAAAAAGATCTAGTACTTGTATAAAGTAGAGTTGGCATCAAATTCTAATTGTGAAACTACTGTTCTACTACCTTCTTATTCTCTACATAGGTACATATTATATCAAAACGATTAGTATTTACAAAGAAGTTCAACAAACATAATTCCTTTCAAATATACAATACAAAATTAAATAATAAATATAAACAACTGATAAATAATATCAAAACATCAAATACATAACAAAAACATTGAAATTAACCACCTATGTTTGTCTTATCCATACATCATTATCTAATAGAGATTCTTACAATTAATATTACTTAAATTATGAGGTTCCTCATAGATCCTGAGGTTAGATTTTCACTGAAAAAAAAAATGTATAAATATAAAAAATAATCCCCCTACCCATCAATCATTGAGACAAAAACCAATTTAAGATTTGATGAACAGAAATGTTGAAGTTTGAAAAATGGCCACCAGGATCACTTGACGCTTTCGGATTACAAGTTACGTGTCAGGTTTATGTGCGTGTTCCCTGATGCGTTGTATCTCGCTCTTTATTGCGGAGATGAGCGGGATAGCAGGGTCTTCCGGTGCGAGGCGGCCTTCAGACAGGACCAAGGAAGGGTTGACTGCGGGGACGCGACCTGCCACTCCGGTCAGCGACTGCAAAACGCCCGAAATTGGTACGTGCAAGATTTTTATCAATTTATTCATGCCTGTTACAAACAAACAATAAAACGGTGCAAAGAGGAGCCCTGAAGTGTAAGTAGATATACAAAGCAATATGGCTACATTCACATGTAGCCATTAGCAAAAAATACATTTGAGATGAAATATCACCATCCCAAATGTATTTTTTGTATAATTCAATTCTACCTACAGAGTATAACAAAATGTGTTAGGTGTTGCAGGATGGCTGCTTCATAGATCATCTATTCTAGCTTCTTACAGATGAATAAATATCAATTCTAAGTTCTTCAGGAACTCACGTGTGGCGGCGTGGGCCCCCAAGCCCTGGCGGGGGGCGGAGCCCTACGCTCGGCTACCGGCCGCGTGAACGATGTGCGCGGGCGCACGCTAGCGGTCGCCTCTGCTGGTTGAGTGCCACCTCTTCTGCGCGGTAAGATAATTTGACTTAATTGTTGAAGGTGTTTTCAGATTTATTATTATTATTCTTACTTTTTTTTATAACTTCTAGCTTCATTTTACTTCTGGCCACTTTTTCACTTGGCAACACGTTGGGCGCCAACATTATATTGCACAAATAAATGCATGAAGTTCAACATACCGTATTGATAACTATTGAAATTATGGTAAACTAAATACGTGTATGATATCATCAGAGGTCAGTGTAGTTATATTTTACAACTACCCACAGTCCACTTACCCAGTGCCAGCTGATCGTCCCCTCACGGTGTCAAGGGCAGTGTAAGGGGAGCCCGGTAGACGCACGTTGTCGTTCCTTGCCTGGGCTAGTTGCTCTGTATCTGAAAAATAAAATAGGGTAGACTAAGATTTTAAGGCAGACTCATGTCATTAAGATTCTGTTTGCAACAATTACGGGACTATTCCCACCTCTCGTTCCCACCGCTGCATCTCTTGTGTTGCCAGGATCCACAGCTTGACCGCCAAAAAAAACCAACCAGTCAAGGTCAAGTTGGTCCCAGGAACCAGGAGCAAAACTCCAGGTTGTGGAACAACCATGTTACTAGCGTCATGACAAGAGCATTTCATCTTACCTGACTTCTTAAGCTTGTCTCCGCTGTCCCTCTCAGATTCACCTGGCGTGTCCCGGGACTGTCCCGAGGCACTTCCAAACAGCGTAAACGCGTCATCCATAAGCTCGTTGAACCGCTGCCTCATGCGGGACGGGACGGGCTTGCCTCCAGACTTGGTGGGACTGGATGGCTTTGATGCTGTTGAGTTTTGACCGTAAATGTACTCAGCTATATTTTATCACCTCATAGGGCCTATAGCCCTTGATTTAAGTAAAAAATTGACGCTTATCTTTTGGAAGTTGGGAATTTAATTAAATTATTTTAGCGCTCCCATTTGTAGTCGAGTGTCGAGTGCTCAGTCGGTGTCTAATATTCCTCCTAGTAAATGACGTCTCTCAAGCCTCTACACAACGTCCCGATTTTTTTTCTGGGTCTCTTACCGCCCCCCTTTAAGCCTGCAGCGCCCACAAGGGGGCGTTATCGCCGAAGAAGGGAATAGAATATTTACACTAAAGTTGAAAGATTCTTAGATATTCTTACCATCTTTAATCCTCTGGCAGTGAAGATCCCATACCAAAGGTCCTATGACTCCTGGGTCCTTATCTATGCTTCCGAGCCGCACCAGCTGTGAAGGCATCTGTCGCCTTTGCACCACATCCTTGGTTTTGTCCTGGGTCCTGTCAGTCTTTTGCTTTGGACTAGACCACGGCGAATCTATGTCCAGATGACGCACCGATACTGGTTCCAGGATACGGGATAGTGGCTCAACGATATTGCCCCTGAAAAAAACATAACTTTGTAGTGTCATGTGGGTCATGGATTATCGTAGCCATTCAGTGTTTATAGTTCGTTTCATCCACGAAGTCGCGCCCCACCATTCTTCCGCTAATGTTTGAGTGTTATCGGTACACGCTAAATTATTCATGAGTGCACACGCACACTACAATAATGACGCTCGGATTACTCTGATAAAACTCCCTGCACCAAAAATTTGTGGGACTCGTCTTCGTGGATGAAACGATCTATAGATGTTTATCGAAGTAAAGTAGCTAGTAAGTGTTTTTTTACCTTGGGAAGGAGTTGACTGATGGCATCGAAAGATATGAGGTAGGTGTGTGCGGCGCTGATGCCTGACTATCCGAGCTATCAACGCCTGCTGCTTCCAGCAAACTGTCTGTAGTGCCCACTGAAAGGAAAACATTTTTTTATGACCCACACCTGCTGGTATAAATCTAAATGTATTGAACCTTTTTTCAGTGAGCTGGAAACTTACCTCTTTTCTTTTGAGGCATTCGTAATGCATGGGGCTTCTTCTGTCTTCGGCGTATAGCTGCTGCTACTTCTGATACTCCAGAGGAGGTTGTTGAGGAACTAGATCAACAAATTGGTAATTAGTTTAGGTTTATTGATATCCTCTTATTAATAGATATTAAAGAAGGGTATACCTTGAAGCACTACCAGCTCTGTAAATTGGTAGTAAAGTACTGCTTGGTCTTGTCCTGCTCGGAGACACTACGCTGATCAACTGAAATCAATCAATCAATATTTTTTATCAATGATCAAGATACTGTGGCAAATTACAAAGCAATTTGATGATACGTACTCGCCCATCCTTTTCTTCATGAACTTGTTTCAACTGATTGCGTTCTGCTTCTCGTAACATCTCGTTCCTGTACGCTCGTAGGGAAGCTGCTGATTTGATTGCTTTCCTCCTGCTCAATGGGAATAGATCAAAGGTAACTTAATTATTTTTTAAATTCTTCAATCTATTTTTCAACATATTATTATGAAGTAACATCATCAAAAAATGAACAAGAAGACGAAACTGAAGAAATAGATACCTATGTGCCAGACACAGCAAAGCCAAGAGGACCAGGAGCAGTAGTACTGCCACGACTGCTCCCACTGCGAGGGCCCAAAGCTCGGTTCCATGGACGCCTCCTGTCTCCGCCTCACCCTCCAGACCTTCGGCTGCCTTCAGGTACGCTGCTGGCGATATTGGTCACCCATCTTAGTTTATAGTTTTGGAACCAGGCATAGGTATGTCATAAGGGAAATTCTTGTCAAACTTACGCTCAGCCTTAGTAGTGACAACTGCTCCCAGCTCCCTTGCCACTTCTGCGTCTCTCACGAGACGCATGTCTCTTGCTGCTACTGCAGCAGGCACTGCGCGACCACCAACAAGGACCACGTATACTATTTGAACGCTACCGGTTTCTGGCGACTAAAATCAAGAAATTAACTTCAATTGTCTACTCATGAGAGGTGAAAATGACTAACTTAAACCGGGGAGTCTTACTTCAGTAATATTCTGTATGTGCACTTGCACAGGTGGCTGCTGTTCTGGTTTTATTATCTCTCGCTTGAACAACAACGTCTCGTTACTCGTATCTGTCTCCAGCGGCAAATCAATCAAATCCTCCTTAACATCTTCTAACTCTTCACGGTCTCTTATCTCCCTTTTCCTTAACACTACTGTAGGAGTTGCCAGTATCCACGATTCTACTTCACTTATTCTTGTTGCTTTTATTTCAGATATAACTGACTTTGGGTCTACATTATCGATTAATGTTAAATGATCGTCAGGGTATACACGTAACATCATTTTTGACGAATTTATGGAAGAAGGAAATGATTTTTCTACTACTTTAGTAAGACTACTTAATGACTCTACAGGGTCTGCCACAGAACTGTGCAGATCGTGGTATCGGTATGGTGTTTCTGCGCTGTATGATACTTGGTTAACATTGCTGTCTTTGTTTACAACGAAAGAATGAACATCATGTTTCTTTCTTGAAGTAGGTGCGTCTAGTGATTTTATGATGCCAAGGTGTCTTTCTTGCTGTCTGCAATGGAATAGCAGGTGGTATAGTTTTAAAAGAAGAAAAAATGTAGTTGATTAGTTATAAAGAGATTACTGGGTAGTTGCTTACCTTAAAAAGGCTTTTTGGTACAACCTGGCTAGTCTCAGTTGTAAGCTGTCAGGCGTGGACCCCTGGATGACTGTTAGGAGCCAGTAGCGACGGTCCTCTGGTATTTCTGGCTCCAAGCTGTCGGGTACTCCTGGTTCACCACAGTTGAGGACACATTCTCCTGTGGTCTTATCTGTCACCGCCTGAGTAAATGTCTATTGATATAAAAGGCTTAACTAAAAATACTTCATATTAGACCGAAATTGCAATTTGACCGTGTTAAATAAAATTAAAATCAATATCCAAATACTTAGGTACTAAAATGGCGAATTTGCATACAAAAACATGTGGGCTTAAATTGTATTTCCAAGTTCAACGATCCTACAACGGCTACAACTATTGTAATCGTGTGGAATTGTGGATTATAAGAACTGAAAAAGATAGTGTCCCATCCGAGGCTACGAAAACTGATCTACAGAAGTAAGCCTAGGCGCAGAGACCACCAACTTTTAGTTAGCCTATAGTTGGGTCGAGCTGTTGATCAGTATGAACATATTGTATGGAAGTGCGCACACTACACCGCCGAATAGGTATCGACCGATTCTTCATACAAATCAGGATCGGGCCCAACTATCGGCTAACTAAGGTGGTCTGCGCCTAGTCTAAGAGTTTCTTATTTAAATCTCTCCCCTATTTACCTGTGGCGGGTAAGAATCCAAGTACACAGTGGCAAGTACGGTAGTGGTGTGGACATACGGTGACGTCGGCTTAGCTGGCGTTGGTATGGGCGGGTCTGGAGGTGGTGGTGGACCGTCTCCTGAGCCTGTCCAGAAGAAGTCTTCCAGGCGCGGGGTGCGCTCGTGCTGGTCTCGAGATACGAGCATGTATACTGGAGCAAGAAAGTATAGATCTTAGGCAAATGACTTGAAAGAAGTACCTATACACAAAAATCTTTACACTTTGGTATTCCCGTGGTCTACGTGTAAAAAACGTGTACATACAGTGTGAGTCACGTTAAAGTGTACATATGAAAATAGATGAAACTAGACCTATTTTTATCGACAAAAAAGAGGTCAAAAATTTTTTGAGATTTATTTTTTATTTTTTATAGAATTTTTTTTCTTCCAATTACTTATTGTAAAGAAAACGTAATAACTTTTAAACTAAGCTCCTCCTCCTTCCTGATAAAATAAAAACAGTAATAATTCTAAATAACAGGCGATACTAAAAAATTACATAAAATACACAAAAAAGGCCAACAAATAATAAAAAATGATACTTTTTGAAAAAAATCTGCTTTTAATTTCGTTTTTTTTTTGGTTGTTTGATAAATTTCTCCAAAAAATGCCCCTATAACCGGTGGTTTTTACTACTTTGTATTATTCTCTATCGTATGACCTTCGTAAAACTAAAAATCGCATGTCTCTATCCCTATCACAACATTTGCAATGATCGTTTGAACTAAGCCTCTCCGGGCGCGCTATTCAACGCTTCGTTAACAACGAAACTGAAAATGGCTCTAGATTTGTAATTTAGATAAAGACAAGTTAAATTTCAAATAAAAACAAAAGATTTCGAAGTAAAATAAGCATTTTAGTTAAAATTAAAATTTTCTCTACCTGCAGCGGAGAATAATGTTGTGGCAGGCCTTTGTTCAAACGCTCATAGCAAATGTTGTGATAGGGATAGAGACATGCGATTTTTGGTTTTACAAAGATAATACGATAGAGAATAATACAAAGTAATAAAAACCACCTATTATAGGGACATTTTTTGGAGAAATTTATCAAATAACCAAAAAAACACGAATTTAAAAGCAGCTTTTTTTCAAAAAGTATCATTATTTTATTATTTTTTGGCCTTTTTTGTGTGTTTCATGTAGTTTTTTAGTATCGCCTGTTATTTAGCATTATTACTGTTTTTATTTTATCAGGATATACCGCTTAGTTTAAAAGTTATTACGTTTTCTTTACAATAAGTAATTGGAAGAAAAAAATTTCTATAAAAAATTTAAAAAAAATCTCAAAAAAAATTTGACCTCTTTTTTGTCGATAAAAATAGGTCTAGTTTCATCTATTTTCATATGTACACTTTAACGTGATTACGTGACTCACACTGTATTAAAACTGTGGAATAATTTTTTCTTCCATTGTTTAAATTAAACCAGATATTTCCGTGTATGTTGTAATATATAAACCAGTAACTATTTAGCTAATTGTATCTCGATAATCTATGATAGAAAAGGAATCGTACTTTCATAGTTACGAGGTAGGTATGTGTGATTTACATGGTTTTGAGAAGGTATGGTTAGGGTATTGATTACTGAAAGTAGGTACCTAATATTTATATTTTGGTTTAAAATGTACATTAATATTCATTCATTGGATTGGTCTAGACAATGGGCTTCAAAGGGGGTAAGTTCAAATAACGACTGCAGCAAAAAGACAACGGCAATTATTTCACGTCAATCGTCATCCATGACAGGTCGATAAACATTTCCCGAATCGCGTGATCTTCAGAATAAAATGGTTTATTAGCCCTCCTGTAACTTCCAGTAACTACAGTTTCATAACAAGGCGTGTGGGACAAGCTGAAAGCGGACTGAGGAAAACTTTCCTTTCAGATCTTGATACTTAATTAGGAAAAACTTAACTCTAGTTACAAAATCCGCATTTAAGTTTTCGTGATTCTGGGTAATATTAGAAACACAAAAATCGGATATTAAGCGAAAAAATTCATCAAAGTTGTAACTAACTTTTTTGCAAAAAAACCTTTAATTGGAAATACATATTACTCCTTTAATAAAATTAATTGTAGCTTGATTTGATATGTCGTTGACCACACCTACTGACAAAAGCACAATCCGCGGAATTTCATAAGCTTTAGATTTAGCTTGTCTAGGAGTCTAGTATCAATCAGGATCAGGAAACAAAAGAAATCTCACAGATTAGAGAGAGTACCTATTATGTGCAGTTATCTTTTATCTATACGAACTTTAATCCTATTCAAGTACTTATAGTTAATACGCTTTTTCTTGTCGATTGCGCTTAGGCGTTCCACAGGGATGTACTTTTGCGCCACCCCGTGCCAACCACGGAGGCCTGTAGTAAAGAAACGCATTTCCTGCCTGTTATATTCGACTTATCTACTGTAATACATAGAATGGTGTATTATATGTAAACAACATGATACCGGTTTATTTATTGATTCGATTGAAACCTACGAATCCTAGGTTCTAAAATTAACTAATTGTGAAATGGTAGTCCGACACAATGTTTCATAGAAAAATTCCAGACAAAATGCAACCATCCAAAAAGTATAAAAAGCCGAAAGAATGCAGTGCTTTATTTTGTGAAGCTTGTTTTGTTCGAGCAACTAAAATTAACAACTGACAGTCTGGTTGACAGCACTTAAATGTTTATTGAAGTATGCAGATCCCAAGCTTATCGTTTTGTAAATCTCATTTAGTTCATTCAACATTTTATTGCTGTTTTCCCGATTTTCTTCATGCTGATTTAAACATTGGAAGTTATCGCAGAATTCGTAAAAAGGGAACCAGTATGTAAACCATATAAGGATAAAATCATTACGTAAACATAGAGCTCGATTTCAACATACAAACGCACAAAAAGGCATATAATAGTGCTGTAATGCCGCGGTTTCACGCGGGCCGTGCGCCGGCGCACCCTTTGTGTTGCCCGGATGTGAGTTTAGTGACCAGAAGATTTTTATCTCCTTATTCCGGTGCTGATAAGGTCGAAAATAACAAATCACCTGACATGATGGTCTCTGATCTGTGGCTGTGCAGCCAACCGTAATGATGACCTCTGCTGTTGATTGATATAGTAATTGTTCAGGATGTGAGTTATGGTTATGGTATGGCACAGAAAATTTGATAAGTTAAAAAAATATTTTTGATGTTTTTATTTTTATACCTACTTGTACTCAAACGTTTTATTTGTTCAAATATCCACCTTACTTAGTAATCAAATATTATGAAAGAAAGAAATCGTATCCATGCCATCCGTTAGGTAGGTGTAGGTACCTAAATTGCAGATTTTTTTAAAATAAATTACTCAAAATAAGCGTATAATTAAATTAACTTTAAAAGGAACAAAAAGGCTTTGGTTTCATAGAGGGAAGGATAGTAATTTAATCCCCATTATAGTCATAATAATAAGAATATCAATGACAGGTTTAGGTTTTTAATTATGATGATCTATTAATCTAATAAGTGATGAATAACTTTCTTCTAGATGGGCTTTGGATTTCTTTTAGATGTGCTAAAATAAGTAAATAAAAACTTACTCTTGTCGTCATTTTCGTAGTCGTCTGCATAAACATCATAAATAATACTCATACAAAATAAATTAAAAAGTATTTTACTTTTCAACATAATATCTTTGCTTTGTATAACGTCGCTCTTTATAACACTGTTACTTGTAAAGTTGGACGGGCATTTTAGAAAATATGTTTGTTAAAAACATTAAATTGAGCCCTAAATTACACAGAAAACCGCGATTCTATGGCACCCTTGGCAATAAGCACCATCCGCCTACCAAAAACGAGGTATAACTACTGTGCGTTTGGTAGTTTGAGATTGTTTGTTGCGTTGCTACGCGACCACACATTGAATTACGCGCGCAATGCGCCGATCCGCCATTTTGTTCATAAAGTTGGAGCTTCACTTTCAGCGAGGACGGCGCAGGCTAACTGACTCAAACAAAACAATAATGAATGATGCAGCATTACTTATTTTATTTATTTATTTGACGATCACTTAGCCTAATGTTTTGGGTGTAGGACTAATATGCCAGAGGTCGCGGGTTTGTTATCCGCTTTCACACGGTGCAAACATATGTGTGCATGAACATCAGTTATTATTGGTCTGGGTGTTTCTATGTATAATGTTATGTATGTATTTACAAAAGAAGAAAGTTTACTGTATTAAATATGATAAGTAGGAAATTAAGAATTACGAACGTTTGTCGCTATGACTGTGAACTGTAACCCCACCCTACTTACCTACCATTTCATAGATTAAAATTTAATCAAGAAGTAATTTTATATTAATACTGATTAATACTGGTTTGTTACATTTAGAAATAGTATATAGGTTTTCTAGAAAAGTGCATATAAAAGCAAATCATTAAGGTAAATTACGTAAATTAAAAGCTTCTTATGGCATACTTAAACTTAAGTTTTAAATTAACTGTAATAGATGGCGTTGTATATTCCACCTTCCTGTCAAAATTGATGTCATTTTTTATCTGTGCACAGTTTTGTCTATGGTCTGAATATTGTAGTGTTGCCAGTGCAATTCAAGCTACTATTCTAGAAGATTTAAAAGCTCTAATATTTTAGTAGTTTGAAAAGTATTATAAACGAACGCCTAGTTATTTGTGTACTCATAGTGCACGTTGTGCAATATTTATTCCCACTGACTTTTCTACCTTAATTAATAAACATCACTTCACTTCATTATAACAAAACTAAGAAATAACAAAGCGCTATTTCCTAATAATGTAAAACACGGATTAGGCATTTTAGATACCGATGCAAGCGGTTTAATTTCATGAATTATTGGGACATATTTCCCATACAGAAACTGTTAATAGGAAAATTTAATTCTTTAGTTAAAAGTTATTCGATGATAGAAAAATTAGCCCTTTAGTGTAATTTGCAAGTTCTCGTATTGCTTTAAAAAACGAATAATGATCTGTGGGTAGGTAAACAAGTAATATTAAAAACTGTTGTTTGTTCAAGTTTTGTTTTAAATTTAAAACTAGAGTAAAAAAGAAAACAATTTTATGTAATAGTAGTATTTTGATTTCTAAACTGACAACACTGATGTTTTCCATCGCACCATTTCATGTTGTTTCATTCGGGTGAGTTCGTCGCTTCCGTTCGACGGACTTTGTGCGACGTAAGCGGGTGTGTGCGAAAGTATGAAGTGAAATCGTACAAAAAGTGTGTGAAATGTTTAGTGTTAGTTAATTTTGTGCTAAGTAATTCAAAATGAGTGCGAACGGATAGCCCCGGTTTCTATATTCAGTCCATAAAACACTAAGATAGTGGTACACGTAACATTTCGTATGAACAGTTTCAAAATGGCTGTGTTTTGAAGGACCCTTTGTCCGCTTTCGTGTTCTTCTTTCAGCATGATAGTGGGATCGTACTGTCAGAATTTTGACTTCGAGAGGTGAGGGAGATACCTAATAAGATTTAGTGGTCCTGGTGTAGATACGTGGAGTGGAAAAGTACTGGTTCCCGCCGTAGTGCGGTGGCGGTCGGTTGCTTTCTACGCAAGCGATACCAAACGCTAGCTTGCAACGTGTGAGTTTCTAATAACCTTTTTATTTTCTTGGGTAACTAATAAAGTGGTTTGTGGCACGTACGTGGGCTGGCCGCTCACGACTGATATAATTTTAGCTTGGTGTTGATTTCCTGGCGTTACTCTCAGTTCTTGACTGTCATATGGTGAAGTAAACACTGGTTATTTTTAGAAGAACTCACTAAAATCGTATTGGGATTAGTTTCCTATTGGATATCTGTAGTCCAAATTCTAAACGAGAGCCCCTAATGAACATCAAGCTAGATTAACATATTGCAAATAGATGTATTTCTCCTCTGTTTATCAACAAAATGTGGTATAAGTACCTACTTAATATACCTACTTTTGTGTATTCATACATGCTGTTGAATGTTGTTCCTATATCATACAGTAAATAAATGAATGTAAAATTTATTCTTGATCCATAATAATCAGTCTGAAATAATAATTATTATCAGTCAAAAAGTCTCATAACCTAGCATACAAAATAATAGTGACTTTTCTGCAAAAAATGTTTTTTTTTTTTTTATCAATTATAAATCCAGATTACCTAGTATCCATTGTATAATATTTTCAAAATTTCCAATTATATTAGAATGTAATGTAAGAAGTTTCAAAAATTTTATTTATTTCTTGCTTTCATCAAGCATCAACTAAAATTTAGTAGAAAAAAGTTATTATCAAATTATCAATGTAACAGATCAAAAACATTAATTTTATTAGGGGGGTCACATTGACATTGTTGTTGTCCATACCATAGTCAATTTTAATGGGCAAGTAATGCAGCTGTTTGTAAATTACAATATATTTTTAAATAATTAAATTAGCAGCTTGAACGAAATCATATTTTTAATTCTGCAGCACCTATTTCAATTAGGCATATTTGACTTTTTAGGCATTAAGCAGTTTAAATGGTTCTTTAGTTAGAGTTAGGGCATTTACATTTAATAATTTAGTTTATTATGTAATATTGTGGACAAAATTACCACAGAGAGACAGACTTACTTTGAGTTTCTTTTTGGTCTAGTTTGACAAATTATCTGACACATATTAATTCATAGATAGCAAAGACTATAATAATAAACTTCAGTGAACCAAAACTGGATAAACACAAGGTTTCTTTCAGTTGAACTTTGGTCATATAATATAAACTTACCTACTGATTATAATAAGATGGCAAAGATAATAATTACAAGTTAATTACAAACTGCTTTGCCATCTTTTGTATGACAGAAGGAATTATAAAAATGACAAAGATGATAAGAAAGGTACCAATTTTCTTGTTGTTCAAATCTAGTTTAGTGTAAACTTGTTGGTGATCATATATATAAGTCGTGTTAGTTACTTCTCTTATAATATAGACTTTGAAGACTAATAACTTAAAAATTACTTGTTTCGTTCAGATTTTTTTTTGTTGCACATTATAATTTGGAATGTTTACTTTCAAAATTCATCAGATTTAATGCGAAAAGAACATATTTAGTTTTTCACCCTTGGTAACATTTGTCATGGAATGACCCAACTCAAGAACGGCTGAACTGATTTAGCTGAAAATTGTCAGGGAGGTAGTTTAGAGCCAGGAAAAGGACATAGGATACTTTTTATCCCGTTCGAAATTAAAAAAAAAGTCTGCTTATTTATTGCCATTAAGGCGGAACAAAGTTCGCCGGGTCAGCTAGTTTTAAATAAAATGTGAAATTATTATACAGGTCTATTTAGATAATGACTTGCTGGATAATGGCTTGACCTCTATGATATCTGTAACTTATTTTTACAAGAGACATTTTGCGATAAATGTCGTAAATGTTTTGTATATTTTGCTACTGTGTCCTTGTCGCAAAGTAAATACGTAATAGACTCATAGGTAAATAAAGCTAAGTATTTGACTGTCTTTAATTTAAAGTTATTTCTTAAACTACAAAGATCTTTTCTGGGAAATATTCTGTCTAGAAATGAAACCTATTTTTAAGATTTAGTTGCGCGAAAACCGAAACGCATAACGGCATCCGAGGCATTGTATTCGATGCGCCGGCGCAGCTGTCACTAGGCGAGAAGACCATTGTTGTCGGCTGTTTAGGCCAATTTCAGCGCTGCGATTGCAAAGCACGAGATTGCTGTAGCGGTCCTCATTATACCAAGTCATGGTAGCGGATTTCTTGAAAATAACTCGAAATTTTAATTATAATTCTCAAGTCTCAGTAGTCTTACTATTCGCTTTTGAAAGATTCTGGCTTGGAGCTCTGGTCTGGTCTTGGTCTCTCTTGGTCTAAAGAATTGAAGACAATTGAATAATTGTATTTGATTGAATGCTACGCATGCGTTACGAATATTGGCATAATATGCAAGTATAATTTTTGTTTTTCAAAACTTAGGCATAGGCGGAAACAGTATAACAAGTATCAAGTGTCATCATCTTTCGTAGATTTTCTTCATAATTTCAGCCATAGGACGTCCACTGCTGAACATAGGCCTGCTCGAAGATTTCCATAATGTCCGGTTAGTAGCGGCCTGCATCGGCTGCAACAGCCCCTCTTTCCCACTGGGCACTTTGGGTACGTGCCCAGGACCCCGTGACCGAGACCCGTCTGCTCAAAAGACCTTTTTCCAGATGATATGGCCCCTTGATCCTCAAGTGCCCAGGGCCCCTAGTAGTTTAAAGACGGCCCTGGTGCATCCAGTGCTTTCCTGCTTTGATTCTGATGAGATTTTCTTATTTAGATACAAAAATTACCATACTACACGAACTGCCTCACTCTTCAGCATTCGATACTGTGATTACACTTCCTCAGACTCGAGAAAGCATTTCGACCAGCGATTCGTCATGATGATAATGCTCTGTTATTACTCTTTCTGTCCCGTCTCATTCCGAACTCACGTTTTCGCCATAACGCGTGCGATTTACGACATTTGTTCGCGTAATTGCCCGTTGTTTTCAATAATTACTGTTTGCATTCTGTCCGTGTTACACATTTAAAGGCTGAAACGATGTTATTGTTTTTTATTTTCTCTCGGTTGGATATTAAATGACGACAAAAACAGTTCTGATAGATCCGTTCTCTTGTAGGGTTTTCAATAATGGAATATGTCACGTAAATAACACGGCTTTTACTTCCATAACATAAGCCATACTGGAAATGTATCTTGCCTTAATAACAGCCATTAGTAACGTGTTGGCCGCGTCCACCCACACACACATTACGCCTCAGAAACTAGAAAGTAAACAGCTCTGGCGATGAAGTTTCGGAACTATTGTTCTCCATACAATGGTATTACAGGATACCACCGACATACGTGTGTGCTTTAGATGTCGATTATGGTGATAGATAACTGACATGAATCGATATGAAATCTTCAATTAAGGCTTTAGCAAAATAATGAATTTATTAATTATTGTCTAATAGGTCCTCTTTATTTTAGACACGCGCTATAATCGAGCGGATTCTGGGTGATTTTTTTGGCTATGAGGCGGTAACCATGCGGTTACGGATTTTTTGCCGCAAATGTACAGTCAGCGCCTAGTAGTTCGTGACATCCAAAGTGGCCAAAAAAGGCCAAATACATGTGGCGGACTTTTTGGCTACTTTGGGTGTCACGAACTATTTGACTGAACTCTAAACCAGGGCTTTAGTATCGTCAAACGTTAAATCAAACTGCTAGTTATTACCCAGTCGTTAACACCAGCTTTGGTTTAAACTGGAGTTCCGAACAAACGGGCGTTGCAGACAATCGTGCCCCTTATTAGGCACGGTTCAAGTTCGGCACATGTAGTGTACTGATAGTTTGCAAGTCCCCTGGGTGTTAAAGTTCGTAATCCTGAGACGTATAGTTGGCTCTGTTAAATTGTTCCATTCTCTGTTAGCAGCAGTATTGTAGCTTTTTTTTTTCCTTTATGCTTGCAACCAAGAACCCGAGGCTGCAGTAGAAAAATATTTTCTTGTAAACACTTTTCGTAATTTTGTTTATGGCCAGTTCTTTTCTGATTAACAGTCTCATTCATTTCTATAATTTTTTTTGTTTAGGTCGTATACGATGGAAATTCTCATGAGGTTCATTCAAGCGTATCGTCTCTTGGATAATAAAATGTTTGATTTAGTTAACGAACTTGAAATAATGAGGACACCTACCTACTGCTTGTCTACAGGCGGGCTGGGCTTTGCCGAAATTCTGTCTCGCTTATTGAACTGTACTAGTTATGAATCTTATTTAAGTAAAATAAATAATAAGGTAAAATATAGTCACATGTCTGCAGCTATCGTATTTTATCGCGTTACGGATATTGCGGTTGGAGTCAATATTTTCTTCATGAACATCATGCGCATTTTTATTGTTATTTTACAAAAGACATTGTTAAAATTATAGATGCAATAAATAATTGAGTATTGAGTAAAGCACTGATGATGGAAACAAAAATGAAAAACGCTTTTTATAGAGAAAGTTTGACGTATATTATCAGTAATTTGGCTCAAGTATTTTATTGCGTATAAAATTCCATACGGTACTCGGTGAAACCTTGTAAGAGTTGGTTTCAGATTTTATTATAATAAGCTGATTTTACGTTCGGCCCGGCCGAAGTCTGTCTCGGGCGTTCAAGGCGAGTCGGGTTTCGTTGTAAGTCTAGATTGTTTTGCTCAACTCGTGTTTCTTTAGCCTGACAATATCAGTGATATGTACACTTGTTTTTCTCCTATTTCGGAAAAGATACTTGGTTGAATACCTTGAAGTCGCGGCGCTATCATATTCCCGTTTTTAATAAGCCTTATGTAAAACAATTGTTCTAGAATACAGAAGCCATTATACCAGTAGGAAATTGCTTTAGAATGAGGTGTGTTTGTGCGAAAGTCTCCCACCTCGCGCCATGACTTCTTTACGATCCGAATTCACGGAACGCAAACATGCAATGGTAGCTCTTAGCGAATGAAAACTAAATTTTTATGAGGCTCTCCCTCAAATTGCCTACTTAACTGCGAAAGCCAAAAATATTAAAATTTCTGCTTTTAATTTTAGTCGTCATCCGAACGTTCTTTAATCCTGTTCGTAAATAATCTGAACGATGTCGGGACTAGGGCTTGAATACCGGAATTCCGGAATTTCGTAACTCCGGAATTTCGGATACATTTTTTCCGATATTTCAACTCCGGAACTGAAGCCAATATCGTATTCCGATATTGAAATTTTTCATAAATCATTTAAGTTTTCAAAACGTTTAAGAATCAAAATAGGTTCTTAAATAAGGAAGTCCTTGAGATATGTATTCGCAACTTTATTAGTAATAATATTAAAGAGGCAATAGGGCGAAACCAAAGCTCCAAAATGTTCGCTAGAGACAACTCTAATGGGCGAAGCCAGCTGAAGAGAGCGGATGATAGAGTAAAGCCTGTTAATAGCACAGGACAGTTCCAACAGCTAAGCTAACTCGACACTATACCGAAGATTAGCCGGACATCAGCCCTTACGTGATTAGGGTGGCTCTCAAATAGCTAAAGAACAACAAGGCACCGGGTGATGACGGAATAACCTCGGAACTTCTGAACGCGGCAGGTGATAAGCCGATACTGAAAGTCCTTCATAGACTGTAACTCCGTCTTACTCCAGGGAATAATGCCAGAGGCACGGAACAAATGCCCAGTTATCGAAACGTTTACACTACCATATACCGCATCTATACGCTACGGCAGGTTATACAGAAGACCGAAGAGTCTAACTTGCCTATATGCTTGGCGTTCTTAGACTATGAGAAGGTCTTTGAGCCTGGCTGAACACGAGGGCGATTCCTCTGCGATTTCTCTGCAGCGAGCTGTGAGGCAGGGAGATGTAATAATACGTCGAATTCAACTCGGCTGGGCAGCGTTCGGGAAACTACACAACAGCTTTTCGACCAAAACACTTCAGTGCCTAAAGTCAAAAGTCTACAATCAGTGTGTGTTACCAGTAGTGATGAGTGTGATGACACACGGTTCGGAAACGTGGCCTCTTACTATAAGGCCTTATAATAAGCTCAAAGTTGCACACCATGGTATGGAGAGTGCTATGCTCGGTGTTTCTTTTCGAGATCGAACCAGAAATGAGGAGATTCTTAAACGAACTAAAGTTACCTGACATATAGCGATCAGATTACCAAGCTAAAGTGGCAATGGGCAGGGCACATAGTACGTAGAACAGACGGCCGATGGGGCAAGGTTCTAAAGTGGAGGCCACATACGTGTACGTGTTTGTCGGGAAGCGCTTTCTTTTTTTAACCAACTCCGGAACTAGAACCGGAATTCCGGAGTTGAGTGCCCAATATCGGAAATCAGTTCCGGAGTTGAAAACTATCCGATATTGCAAGCCCTAGTCGGGACGACTGCTTGCCCTGACCCAGAAATTCGAAATAATTTCGCAATTTTTGATAATAATACATTACTTGCATCTGTCTTTGCGCTAAATGACTTGCTTTTCATTTCGAAATCGTCACAAGTCGACTTACAACTTTTACTGTTGATTTGTTACAGTCGACTCGTTACAGATAAAAGCACGTGTAAAGTCTTCACAGCTCGTATATTTCTCCTGACAATTTGACGCATACTTATGGCGAATTAACGAATCGACTTAGTGGCAAATTGACAATAACCTCCCAGTCGTGCCAAACTCCCAATTTCATGTCTAATTATTGATTGATAAAGCGACCCTCATAAGTAATGTCAAACGCTTGTCTCCAGGGAATGCATGTCATGTACACGGAGCCGCCGGCGCAATATCGCAGCAGTCAGCCCCAGAGCACGCAGCCAGAGTACCAGCCGGCCGTGTCGCCGGCGCGCCAGCCAGCCAAGAAGCGCCGCGTGCTGAGTCCCAGCGCCCACCACACACCACAGCAGACGCTACCGGACCCCGCCGGCTACAAGGTGAGCCCACACTAACACACGGCGACAATATCGCAGCAGCCATACCAGAGCACGCAGCCAGATTGGCGACCATAGCCCATTGGTGTCGGTGCACGAGTGGCAGTAGTTCGTACCCCACCGAACTGTTGTGGTGAACCTACTCGTAACAAAAGAAATTTACGGCCGAATACTGAAACGCCATTTAAATATTTGACGGCTTCTCAAATAGTTAAGCAGCTCCTAAACTTACATTTCGCATACTCAAAACAATATCTGAGCAGTTCTCAATTTGTAAGCACCTCTCAAATTAAGTTGCACTTAAACGCCACTCAAATGAATTTTCGCATACTGAAACGCCATTCAACGCTAAGCATTACTCAAACAACTGTCAAATCGTCTTAAGGTTAAGCAGCTGTTAAATTTGAGAGTGCTTGCCCGGTATCTTAAATCCTATTCTTATACCTAAATCGACCTAAATAGTGGTAAATAATGTGTGTCATCGTTATAATTTCTTTCGAGGCTTGAGGAAATACCTAGATCTAATCGCAGGAACGCAATAAGGCTGAACGCTATTGAAAAATATTATTATAATGACATGCAATTCCGAGCGAGGTTCCGCGTCTCTAAAGAAACGGTGTTGTTTCTGGATTCATAATTTGGAAGCTCTTTGAAACCCCTCACCAAACGCCATACAACCAGTGGACCAAATACTTATTATAACCCTTAGATTAATTATAACCCTACTGTTCTACGCAACGGAAAGTTATGAACGTGTATCTACTAGGTGATATCTTCCACATCTAACAGCCCACTGTGCATCGTATAGTGCACGAAGTAACAACCAAAATAGCTGCTATGAAATCGCAATACATAAACATGCCTATTTCTGAGGAATAAGGGGACATCGCATAGCAGCATTTCCAAGAGTTGTTGATTTGTCAATTTGATGCTCTGTCAACAATGATAAATGTCAATTGTGGTTACGTTTCGGTCCACGATCGCCACTTAATAGATTTCAACAATAAAAAGTATCACGTTTAAAATTATTTGTTTAATTAAATAAAAATGCAAGCATTAATTTTTTTATATAATAAAACGAGAATTATGTATAATAGAAACTAAAAATAAACTGTTCTATGTTAAGTTGATTGAGTATATTTCCCTAAAAGACAATACATAACCAAACGATGCTGCGTGTAATGGATAAAAAACGTAAAGTCATCATTTGTGTAAATGAAAACATACTTTTTTTGGTAAATGTTGCCATTATGTAAACATTTGAGAGCTGCTTAGCTGATCACGGCTTCAAATCCGTTGAGTAGCGTTTGAGAATACCATTTAAAATTGAAGGATACTTAAATTTAGGAGCCCGTCAGCTGAGTGAAAGATTTGATTAGCGTTTCAGTATTCGGCCGTTAAATCCCTATCCAATAAGACAATCGCATAATGTCACTATAAAATACATATCGTAATGCAAATTAACAGTTATGTTGTTTCATGCATTGACGTGTGAAACTCGATTCAGGAAAAAATACGTTTATTTACTCAGCTTTACACGCAGTCGGAGAAAGGTGGTCACGTCCGATAAAACTGTATTAACCCCTTCATAATGTATGTGCCGTAAAATATGAAAAAATACATGTTAAAAGCTGTTACAATAATCATTTTTGGTGGTTGTCTCTCGACCATGATATTCCAATCGTGAAGTTCTATTTATTGAAAGGCTTATCTTTTATTTTATGATAGTTTTAGGTGATACATCTTATGTTGGTTATCACTTATCAGCTGTTGGACAGATATGAGGGATTTACATGTTTTTTTGCTCATCGGCAATGTGACATTTAGAGTTAATTCTGCGTGACGCGCAGACGATCACGGCGGCTGATGAATATGTAATCGCGTCAACACTCGCTAGTAACGAGGGGTGCCACAGCTTGATGCCAACCAAAGCGTATATTTTCATATAAATCGCCATTTAGATCTTCGCGAATACTGATCCCAAGATTTTCACTGACAGATCTACTCGGCGAAAAAATTGTACGGTGATCCAATTGCTGGTGAGCGAGGCAATTTTGTTTAGTTTCCTTTTCTCAAGGAATCGTTCGTATTGAATCACATTTGGAAAAGTTGCGTTCATTTAGAATTTCGGATTCTTTATTGAACAATTTTGAGAAAATTGTGGTTGGTCAAAGTGTTTTCTCACTTTATCAGATTCTTCATTGAAAATTTTTGATGTTGAGTTTGACGAGTATTTTCTCACTTGATTTCCACTGCAGTTGTTTTAATTTTGTGTACAACGAAGTTTTATTGGATCACATGCCTGATTTCCCAGGAGCTAATCGCCGTGTAGTTGTGGCATTGTTGATTCAACTCTCAAAGCAAATCGCTGGATATTGGTTCAAGTTCAACCATTCCAGTGTTGGTTATACTGTATACAGCTTGTTAACTTGTTTCTGTTTATGGCTTCGTTTTACGAGTAGAAATTGTCTTCTCGGGTAGTAAGTTCACATATCTGGTCCGGGTTTTAAAAAAACCGCTTATTTGACTTTGATTAAGTAGATAAATGTTAAAGTAACAAGGTCAATTCGCTTGGTGTTCCATGCTGACAATGCAACTGTCTTCTTATCAATAAACTAACGTTTTTGATGAGATCAGACGAAAATAGCCTAAAAATTGCGCATATCGTAATTTTAGGTAAGCTTAAAAATCATACATGGATACGGGAGCAGTTGCAAAGGGTCATTATATTTGACGTTGTAATTCTTTTGTTATTGTATAGCAAGGTATCACAATTCACAATGTGCAATGCCGGCATCTGTCGCGAGTCGCGAGATGGTCTCTTTACCGTTATCAGCATCTGGGGCACTTTTGAAAGTATCCCCGTCGCGCGCTCGCCTCGCGACGCAACCGAAATTGGATTGCAGTCCTTTATTGTCGGATTTTTGCTTCCGGATATCGGTTTTCGTTGCGTTCCTATAATTGGACTTGGCTCAAGGACTGGCTCTTATTATTTTATGAGCTCGGCGCACTCGTTACTTTGTTATTGGGGACAGTCTTCGTTATTTTCAATATTCGAACAAGAAATACGGTCCGGTTATCATCAATAAGTGGTCGGTTTGGGTTAGGTTACTACTTGCTCAACGATATTCAATTTAAAATCAATTTGAATGTTGCGCAGACACATCTCCAGTAGTCACGTTTCTCCGTTTTCCCCGTGTTTAACACGCCAGGTATCCTACGACTTGTCAAGTCTTATTAACGATGCGCTCGGCAAAGCCGCAATTCAATTTGCGTGAGTGAAATCGCAACATTGATAGGCTGGGGGTTTCGTCAGCGATTTTAAAGGGGATTTCGTAACTGGGGAGGTGAGGTGAGAAATAAATGTTTGTACAAGTGGCCAGTGGGTGAGCACGTGGCGGCGGCCGGTAGCCGCGTGACGTGCCAACGTGAGCGGGAGTGGGCAGTGACGCGCGCCGGGAATAAGTTGCCAGACCACAAATTAAAGAGAGGGAGGAAGGAGCTGTGCGTTGATTATTGTGAACAAACGGGCATTTTGTGAGGATGCTATATGACGATTTGCGAAAAATCTGTCACACTTCTGCATGCTTTTCTGAGCATAGCTTTTCAAAGAGTTTGGAAATTGCCACTCTCATCTCTGCCTTTACAATTATTTTTGTTAGTCTCTCACGACACCCTTGGGATAATGCCGCGACACCCTTGGGCGTCTCGACGCACAGTTTGGGAAGCCCTAATCCTAGGGTATTTAATATCGTTGATAGTGCGATATTGCTTTCCATTTTATTAAAAGCCGTCACACGTCAATCTAACAACTGTGACCTCTTATGTATAGTTTTGATAAGGGCCTTTTTGCAACAAAAATGTATAGTCTGTACTCTGTACTGTGTCACCTATCAACGACGAAAGGAATAACGTGCCCGTCGATAAACCCAGACGCCCGCCCGCTCAGATTAATGAAAAGTAATGAGCTTGACATTGGAGACAAATAAATCGCAGCGGGATGATAACAAAGTCATTCTCATTGCTTGCTAAACACGCTGATAACATTTTGACCTAAGGATAATGATTTTCGCAGGTGCTGTTTGTTTGTGCAAGTATTAAGTTGATAAACCTGATTGGTTGGACTCTAAAATTTTGCCGGAAATTACAACTTTAGGTAGATTAGGTTCTTTCACGCCATGACGCTTCTGGAAAAACAAAAAGGTGGGTAATAAAAAATGGATAATTTATACTAACTCTTCGACGATTCCAACAAGAGTTAAGTGTCACTGAATTATTCAAAACATAAAACTTAGTTAGAAAATTCAGTCAACAACATTTGGTAGAGTCCAAATTATTCTCGTGCGAAAAATTCGTGAATAACAATTTAATCAGCGTGGCTGTTTCTGTTTCTGAAACGTGTCTTACATTGATTATGTTTAGGTTTAAATTGGCGTGTATCGCTGCAGTGACGCAATAGTGTTTGTTTACGTGGAGCGAAGTGGGTACGTGCATTCGCGCTCGCGCACGACGTTGCCAAGTCTCGCTGTTCCAAATTTGGCCCGGCGTTGATGGTTGCCGAGGTACGCATTGACAAGACCAGTTTTTGCCAGTAACGAGTATCAAGTCGCTGTATCCGAATCTCGTTTCGGCATGTCAACAGCCACAGGAGACTGCTCGCATCGGATAAGCGCTTGGTTTCGTCCATATTCTCTGTAATGTTTTGGCTCTACAACTCCTGACGCCTTGTGATTTCATCTCAGAATTCAGAAATAATAACAATCCTTGAAACTATTCATTGTTCTCCAGTGTCTCTATAAAATAACACAACCTTGTATTATGATTTCGGTGATTTCACTACGGTCCACGATTAATTTATCAATCTATTGTTGTCTATAGAGCTATTAAGAAACTGGCTTTATTTCATGCAAAAACTGCTTGAACTTTTTAAAATTTCCAAACGCAGCTGTTTCCGAAACGGCTTGACCGAGAAATTTTGATCTTGCGAAAAGGAAATATCACAT